TACTGGAGGACTACGAAATTTAAATTTAAAGAGTGGTGCTAACATATAAACCAAAATACAATACAAAGTAGAAAATATTGACATGTAATAATATATATATATATATATATATATTTTATATGTATCTGTCTGTCCTTAACTAATGGTGGGAGGGAATCTGTGGGATGCTTCTAAAATGAAAAAGAGCTATGAAGTTTTTTTTAAGTTTAAATTATCATTATTCCTCCAACATGTCTTGAAAGGGGCAATGCAATACATCAGCAAATATATAAAGCCCCATCAGGGGGAACTGTATATTTTATGTATGGTTTATAATTTACTAATTTGCCAGAATTATTTTTTTCATTCTCTAATACTCTCATGCCTGCCTAAGTTTTAAGTAAGAATGGAATTGAAATTTCTATTTAAAAATTCATTACTTAAATGTGATTATGTTCTTTACAACTTAATCTGTCAATATGTAAAAAACAGTTGCATATCATTAGTTTTGTTTTTTATTTTTTCAACATGAGTTAATTTTTCAATGTAATGAACCCAAGTTTTAGATTTAACCCTATATGTAGTGTTTTATGGACCCACTTAAAATGTGTAAAGTACCTGTATAACATACATTTCATCTTTTGAGTTCAATGCAATACATACGTTGTATAAGTCTCCTCCCAAAACATTTGAATATGGTTTTTCTATGTAAAGTTTTAAGCTATTCACAAATCATTTGTTTGTTGATTATATAGCTACCAGCAGAAGATGACTTATTACAACAGAAACTGAGGGAGGAATCCAGGTGAGTGAATTCACATATTAACATATTTTGAAAGTTTTTATGTCAAGAGTTATTTTGTTTAATATAATTTATATAATAGTTGAAAAACAGAGTTCTTGTAGTGTTCAAGGGTAATGATGATCATGGTTGCTACACAGAATATGGGCTATGTACAATGTGTCCACCATGGATATTGAATCCAGGTTTTTAGCATTATAAACCTTCAGACTTACTGCTGAGCATATGAGGGTTCAGAGAATTGGTTGTGTGTGTGTGCGTGTTAGTAATGAGATAACAACTAGCGATTTACACTTTTCCAGTGTTTTACCTTGAACCTAGGTATGTATATTTGCAACTGAGATGTGCAAGAGCATTTCAGTCAGTTTTAATAATAAGGACAGAATATATATTTTGTAATTTATGTATGAGTAACAAATCCAGTGTTTTGTCTTCTACTACACAATTATCTTTGCTTTGAAAATTTTGTTACTTGATTAAATTTACTCAGGTGTTATAATTTTGTTCTTACATGAAATGGTCCGGCATGGCCAGGTGGTTATGATGCTCGACTCGCAATCTGAGGGTCGCGGGTTTGAATCCCCGTCACACCAAACATGCTCGCCCTTTCAGCCGTGGGGGCGTTATAAGTGATGGTCAATCCACTATTAGTTGGTAAAAGAGTAGCCCAAGAGTTGTCAGTGGGTGGTGATGACTAGCTGCCTTCCCTCTAGTCTTACACTGCTAAATTAGGGATGGCTAGCGCACATAGCCCTCGTGTAGCATTGCGCGAAATTCAAAACAAACTTACATGAAATAATTTATGTATATTTCATAGTGCATGTTAATTCACATTGTTTGTGTAGTAATTGTAATCACCTTGACCATCAAGTGCTTCAACACTTAACCCTTTAGGCAATTTGCCTGAGTTAATGCGGACAAACCATTCTTGCTGTATTTTTAATTACTTGCCTTAATTTAATCACACGTTTTCATGTATAACAATCAATGCTCATCAGATGGCATTGTAAATGTTGCTTGTGTTGATCCCTATTAGATTTATTCAGAATTATGTTTCATAAACACTGGAGAAACATATTCCTATTCTTTACTGTAGTTTTTTAAAATAATATGTATCAAGTATAAATACAGATATGCAGCAGATACTGTTTTCAGATAGAGATGATTGAATTATGTTGTAATTCATAAGTTTTGTAACAAAAATTGAGGTGTAATTATATGATTATGTTGTTGAATACATACACTGTATGTATCATAAAATGACTTAATTTCTTTAATTGACTGTAGAGCTGTGTTTCTTCAAAGAAAGAGTAAAGAACTACTGGACAATGATGAACTTAAGGTAAACTTTATGCTCTGTTTACATGATTCATTATAATTCATCTAATGACATGTTTTGAAACAAAGTTGGTATCACACGACATGGCTTTGAATTAAAACTTGTCATACAGAAGTTCTCAACACTTTAAAATATGGAATTTTTCCATTCAATATACAGTAAAGACAAACTATTTAAGTAAGCTTAACAAATGAGCCAGGGATAGAAATAATGAAATAAAATTATATTCACTTGAGGGATAGCTATCAGGAAGATTACATTCCCTCATGTGAAGTTGCATTTTCTCATGAATTCTTTTTTTATTTAATACATGCAATATGTTCACTTTCATTGTTCATAACCAAAAGAATACAGATGGACCATGCATTCCCAATCAGGAAAACCAACAAAAAGATTTAATTCCTCAGCTCAGCTACTTGACAGCATACTTGCTTCTGTTTCACAGTGAGTCAGTCATATAATTATTGAGCATATTTCTCTTATAGTCAGTGTTTGACTTTTCAAGGGCAAGTGTGGTAAAACAAGTTAAGGTTTGACAGCAAGTTATACTGGGTGGAGAATAATAATACTTTACTTGTAATTTCAAGTAAATGAAATTTTCTACGATTGTATAGGTTAAAGTAATTAGACAAATAGCTAGGCTTAATACTGATATCTTCTAACTTAAAAAAAATATATAATTTTTTGTTTATTGAGTACCTGCAAAAAAAAAAGAAAAAATTTGTTCAATGAATAGTGAATGGTCTGTGAGAAAAAAAAAAAAAGAGCAGCTTAATTTTAGTGCATTAAATGGTTTGTGAAATACGACACCACAGATGATGTGAGGCATTCACGCTGACTGCCTCATTTACTAGACTAAACTCTGATGGAGTAAGAGAAATTCTCTGTGCTCTATGGAGTTCAAGTGAAATTAGCTGACAATAAACAATTTCTCTCTTGGTTTTATGAGATAGGCTAATATATGCTACTTTTGTAGATTAATCTTTGAAGACTTACTTCACAATTGTCATGCTGAATAGGCAGTTGCTGCCCATTTGTTTACTTAATTTATTTTACTTAATAGTTTGTATGAAACAGTAAACAATAGTGCATTAAACTATTGGAAATTTTTTTCAGAGTTACGAGTATTCAAATGTAAATTTCATAAAGAATTTTTGGAATTATGTCCCATTACATTTTATATTGTTTTTAAGATGGTTGTTTGTTTGTGATGCAAAAACGTAATCGTAGCTACAATGTGATCATAATTGAACACCTTTTGCTTTCCTGGAAGTTATTTTTAACCTTATTAAAATCACTTTTCTCACCCTATCTTTAATTTCATATATCATACAAATGATGAATTAAACAATAAAGAGGATGCATGTTTTGTTTTATTCATTTTTTAAAATAAATATTAACATCTGAATGTAATAAAACCAGCATTACTAATATGTTAAAATTCCAGGCTCTTTGGGTATTGCTTGACAAACACCAGTCTCCACCATTAATAGGAGATGAACAGATGATTAATTACAAGGACTTTCTGAAAGTTGCACAACAAACAGGACCAAAGTGCAAGTAAGTTCAACATGTACTGTTTTTATTAAATGAAAACTTGAATGATGCAGTTTTTGTCTTCACTGTTATATATAGATTTTATGGGCATAACTCGGTAAGACACATGAATTGAACTTTGTTTTGAGTTTTTCCACTAATCTGAAATTAGTAATGTTTAAAGTAGAGTACAATCATTCAGGTAACTGAAATAGATAAGGTTTTGAGTACTTTTTTTCTACCTAGATAACTAAAATAGGTAGTTTTTGAATAGTTTCCCTTCATTTAGATTCCTGAAATAGGTGGTTTTTAGTAGTCCTTCCACATTAGGTAACTAAACTAATGCTTTGTGTAGTGTCCCTTTGTCTAAGTACCTGAAACAGATGATAATTGAAGCAGCATTTCCACATATAGGTACCTGAAATAGATAGTATTTTGATTAGCTTCCTTCATCTAGATATTAGTGGCAGAAGTTATTGGTAACTTTCAGTCAAAAGTAAATTAACTATGTGGATCAGAACTGAAAAAGTAATGTACAAATTAACATTCCCCATGGGTTTGATCAAATCAGCAACGTTTTTGACCCCAAAACCTTTATAGTTTCCATACTATAACTTATTAATATGTTGTGTATCTTCAAGAAATTTTGCAAGCTTTCAGAAAGAATTGAGAGTCTTTTGTAGACAAAAAATCAGAATTATTAATGAAGTATTTTCAGTAAAAACTTCTGCATGAATGTATGGAGTCAAAGTGTTGATCGCTCTTAGTGCAAAGTGATTTTCATGTTAAGATTAAAAATACTCTTCTTCATCTGAACATTGTCATGTTTCATTTGCATAATCTCGAAAAAACCCTAAATAAATTTCATATGTTTTTTCAGTAAAACTTTCCATTTTATCTGTTATTTTCTCTGTTGGAACTCTATACGACCAACTTTGTAATCACTATAGAAAAATACAAAATAAATCTAAATTGAAATTAATTTCTTTCTAGAATGGCTTCATTTTGAACCATATTCTAACTAATAATCCTGTCATACAACTTGTAAATCACTTGGCAAACTTGGCTAATGCTACCCTATTGAATTACATAATGAATGGGCTACTTTCAGTATAAGCTTCATTCCCATGGGAACACATCTACTAGATTGTATGAATTTTGTAACAGCTCTTGCTGCATAGTTAGAAAAATTGTGATAATTATGGGACACTCTCTACTTTTGGATGTTATTATTCTATATTCTTTGGTGCATTATTTAATTAAATAAATATTATTTAGTGCACTGCTATCATTAGTATAAAAAAGTATAGTTAAGTGTCATCAACAGTCGACAGCAAATAAAAAAAAAGGCCCAGGAAAGTATTTTATTTCTTGTTTTTCTTGTGTATTCTTTATTTATTACTGTAAAAGTAACTAAAATGTAAAAATAGGAAACTCTTTAAGTTAGTTAAGGTTAGATTAGGCAAAATAAGTAATAATAATAATAATATGATAAAAAATTGTCGTGAGGCACACACACACGCGAGCAGCTTGGAGTAGCTTGTGGGTAATGTAATGCAATAGCTTAACAGGAGCTGCACATTTCCCAACTTAAAGAGCAATAAAACATTAAAATTTAAGTATAAATAGATGTATACTGTTACGAGTTTAAAGCTACTTAGGATAAACAAATGTAGTTTCATGTTACAGTTTGAAGTCATTCTAGAAGAAAAAGGATAATTTAGCATAGAGAAAATACTAATGACAAAATATAAAGCTTTATTAAAAAAGAAAGGTTTGAAATTTACTATGGAGGCCTTTAGAGATTATGCAAATGACATTTAAGATGAAGAAAAGTGTTTTTAATCTTAATGTGAAAATCATTTTGCACTGGACTGGTAAAGAAGATATATTCATGGACAAATCTTTAGTAAAAATACTTCATTAATGCTAAATGTGCGGATATTCATGGACAAATCTTTAGTAAAAATACTTCATTAATGCTAAATGTGCAGTGCATGTACTGTAAGTACATACTCTTGTCTATTTAGCTATGTTGCGGGTTTTGACCAGGTGCATTGCAAGCATCGTGAACAGACTACTGAAACATTTGGCACTTTCACTGCATTATGGGAGGCCTCGAAGATAATACAAGAGAAAGGAATGATTTGCTAAGCAAAGATTCGCAACTGGGGTTGTTTTGATTCACAAACTGCAATGTAATCCAGGATATTTTGTCCCCCGGCTTTGCCTGAGTAATAACAATAGTATAATGAGTAACTTGAGTGAAATTTCGTACTTCTCGGAGAGGTGGTTAAATAAATTAAGAAATAGGGGATACCTAGAGAGCAAATGTCAGAATTACTTTATTATCATTGCATACAAATAAACATGGCATCATAACTTAGTTATTAAATCAAATTTTAATATTATATAAGTTTTAAATTCTTAAGTTTATATGAAAACATCTAAAAATATCCTTAATCTACCCTAGTATGAAAATTGGGATATTTGCTCTCTAGGTCTTTCCTTCTCTATGTTATTTACCATCTCTCCAAGAAGTATAGAATTTAACGTAAATTACTCATTATAATATAGATATTATTCAAGCAAAGCATAATTTTTATAGCCTTCAATTGTATTTGTTTACGGAGCCTTAAACTCAGAAAATCAGATCCATTTGCTATCCCCACCTGTTACATACTCTTTTTCACAAATTGCCAATAGCTCTCTCTGGCAATTTATACTATATTATTTATAACCAATAGAAAGCCAAAACTTTAGCCTGTCAAATGACATATTATATTACATTGTTTTCTGTACAGAGAATTTTCTATTTCACCTCTAGTTCAAAAATTTTTCTTACAGGAATTACATCAACAAGCTTAACTGAAGTTTTAAAGGCTTTTATCACATAGTTAGAAAACCAGAAATATTATGATAGTTATAGGATATAGTTTGCTTTGTGTGTATTATTATTCTGTGTTCCTAGGTGTATTATTTAATTAAATACAAATTTATTTGTGTAGTATAAATAGTATACAAGTGTAAGCTTTCATTGTCAGTTGATAGCAAAAAGGCAAGAGACCCAGTTAAGTACCATATCTATTTTTCTTCATGTGTATTCTTTATCTATTATTATAAAAGTAACTAAAATGTAAAAACTAGAAACTTATTAGGTTAGATAATTAAAATAAAAATGAAAAAATTCTTCAGGAGGTATGCTCACAAGAAGCTTGTGCATTACATAATTCATGTGACCTTTAACTTTCACCACTGGGGATCAGGGTTACAGTATATCTTGTATTTTTTTCTTGGGTTACAGAAAATAAAATAATTAACTAAGCCTACTACTTTAGACTACTCTGATAATTTAGACCTAGTCTACTTTGTACTAAATGCTTACTAAGACACCAATGATAGGTTATAATAATTTTTACAGTGCATCCTTTCAGCTAAAAAGCAATGACTTGTGCTAGCTTCCCTAGTAATTTTATTTTTAAAAGAAAGTTAGCAGCACTGCCTATTAAGAAATGAATGGTGATTTAAGAGTTTCTTATTTTTAAAAGATTTCAAATGAACATGTCCCATATTAGTTGTAAGTTATGATATAAAACCACATTTTCTATGCATGAACAGCTTTTGCCCTTATTGTGACACATTATCCAGACAGCCATGTTTGTAAAACAGTAGTCTGTTGGGTACACGATTTATGTATGTGCAATGTACATTTACGTAGAAGTTTACATGTATAAATATTTGACTTCATGGGTGCATGCAGATTAGTGTGAAGGGGCATGCTAACTACAGTGCCTTGCAAAAATATTCACCCCTACCAATAATGTCACATTTTGATGAAATACAAATAATGTAAATAATTTGTGTTTATGAACTTGTTTTTATTCCAAACTCTAATGAACAAATTTAACATTGTTATGTGTGAAGGAGGTTGAATATCAGTTAAAATCTACAAAGAAAATATATATATATATATATATTGAAATTTGCTGATTGCAGTACTTGGTGGAAGCATCTTTGGCAGTAATTACTGCTGTGAGTCCTTATGGATAAGTCTCTACCAGCTTTGTACAATGGGATGGTGTAATTTTTGCTCATTCTTCTTGGCAAAATTGCTCCAGTTTTGACAAGTTCCTTGGGAATTACTGATGGACTGCAATCTTGAAGTCTTGCCATAAATTTTTCATTAAAGTCAGGACTTTGACTAGGTCACTCTGTGACATTCATTTTCTTCTTTTGAAACCACTCTAATGTAACTGTGGGCTTTTGCTTTGCATCATTGTTTTGCTGAAATGTGAATTTTTGACCCAGTTTTAGATTCTTGGCGGACTCAAGCAGGTTTTCCTCTAGGAATCGCCTATATGTTGCACCATCCACCTTCCTCTCAATCCTGACAAGCTTCCCAGTCCCTGCTGTAGAGAAGCATCCCCATAACATAATGCTGTCACCACCATGCTTGACAGCTGTGATATAGTTGACTGAGTGATATGGTGTGTTGGGCTTGCGTCAGATGTAACGCTTCAAATTTAGACCAAAAAGCTCAATTTTTGTCTCATCTGACCACAAAATCTTTTGCCACATGTCTGCAGTATAATTTACATGCTTTGTCACAAACTCCATATAAGATTTAAGATGATTCTTTTTCAGTAATTGATTCTTTCTTGCCACTTACCTCTACAGGCCAACTATGTGTTGGGACCGGGATATTGTTGATGTATGAACACTGACTCCTATCTCAAACATGGAACAAATCTTTCAAAGTCACTGTTGTCTTCACTAGTTTACTGCTTGATCTGGATAGTGACTTGGTGGTATAAAGCATATTTCACTTCTTAATAATGGACTTCACTGTACTGAAAGGGATAATCAGCAACTTTGAAATTTTTTTATAACCTTCTTTTGATCTGTGCTTCTTTACCACTTTATTCCTGACTTGTTTGGTAAGCTCCTTGGTCTTCCTTTAGTGTTACCTTAGCAAAGGGGTTGAATACTTATGCAACTGAGAATATTCTAATTTTTTAGTTTTCTCAGTTTGGAGTAGGTTGTGTAGATTCTAAATATAAAGTCTCATTTCAAAGTTTCATGATTGGAAGCTCAGACAACAACAAAGTGTTTGTAAGGCACTGTATAGGAGTACATTACCTTTGTAACAAAGGAATATCCTGCATATAGGGTAAACTATTCACAAGTACTAAGGGTGTTATACGTTTGTGTTATTAGTTGCAATATTCTGTGTTTGTAACAATAACAGAAAATATGCAAGGGTTAAAGGTATACAGAACAAGTGGTAGGAATGAAGCTTTGAACTCAACCAGTCTGTACATTCAGCTCTTTTTTTTTATTTATTGATCAGTTGTCTTATTTTATTGATAAATGTTCTACTTCTGTTCAAGTTCTGTGTGATTGTCTGAAGTTTCTTATCAAAAAAATTATATAATTGCTCTTAAAAGAACTATTTGGCATAGATGACATTATGCTTAAAGCACTGTTGAAATTATTATAGCAGTTGATAATGTTCTATCTAAGGTTAGCTGATGTCATAATGACTAATTTTTATCAGCATGCTTTTGGTTGCACAATTTTACTGGTCACTTTATAGTTAAGAAATATTTTTTCATGTAAATAAGTTAGATTAATAAACAACAGAGTAATTTGAATTTGTAATTTATTGTCATTTTAGGCAGTATTTCAAAGCCACTATATATGCCAAGCTTCTCCAAGATGACCCATACGGGCGTATTTCTGTAATGCATTTCTTCAATTATGTGATGCGTAAGGTATGGTTACATCAGACAAGGATTGGTCTTTCGCTTTATGATGTAGCAGGACAAGGATATTTAAGGGAGTGTGTAAGTAACAGAATTTAACTTTTTTTAAGTTAAGTTTTTAATATACGAAAGTCAATTCAGCTCTCAAGACAAGGCTATTTAATCAAGGTTAAGGTCATACCTGCTCGTGATTTCGAGCCAAAACAGTGTAATTGGTATTATGTTTCTTTGTGTATTTTCATAGAATGAGATGTAAGACTTTATTGTTTTTTTCGATTGTTGTATTTTTAGTAATAATATGAACATTTTTACTTTCAGGACTTGGAAAACTATATAGTGGAACTTATCCCAACCCTTCCACAACTTGATGGACTGGAGAAGTCATTCCATTCTTTTTATGTTTGCACTGCTGTTAGAAAATTCTTCTTTTTTCTTGACCCATTGAGGACTGGTAAAGTTAAGATACAGGACATTCTAGCCTATAGTTTTCTTGATGATTTACTTGAGGTTTGTAGCTGATATCTGTGTTAATTTCTTTGTAATCATTAACTTTCATAATGGTTTACTTATGTTGGTTAGCATCATATCAGTGAATTTTTGAAAAGTTGATGATATGTTTTTCTTATTTCATATATTGTAATTCTTTTTGCTTGTTGTAGTTTAACCATAGTGTTTTTTTTTTCTAATCTTAAAATTGAGTCAGTTTTATAAAAATTATTGGTTGTTTTGGTTATCATGGCATCTGGCAAATGATTAGAAAGTACTGGAACTGTTTTACAACTAGAATTTAGTATTAAAGCTTTCAAAGAATGTAACTCTTGCAGAGAAATCTTCATTTGAAACTGAGTTTTTCCCTGAAATTGTGTAAAGATTTGGTGAAGGCTTTTTGCCTTTTACAAAGTAATTTGCATATAGAAGACCTGTTTTAGTGGTAAAGTAGTCAATATTCACTGGGTTAATATCCGAAAGTTGCGTTTACCCTTAGTCTCCCTTTCATGTGCAAGGATGAAACGTTTGAATCTAATCAAAACAGGATAAGGAAACTATGAAGTAAGAATAAGATACCCTGTTCTTTTAATTATAACCACTTTCATTGTCTCAGATCATTCGGTGATTGATAGACCTAGATATGATTGATCAGATCTCAATGAACAAAAGTCATGAGAAATTGTTGATCATTTATTGTTGTGTCTATTAACTGTGCATTGTGAACATATTGAAAACTCTTCTTACAGTGTAAATAAAGATCAGAATGGAATGGCCCTGAGCAAAAGTATTCTAGCTTTGGAAAGACTTTTCATAAACATCTAAACAACATTTTGAGTGTTTTATTACATTCTTTAAACCAAGAGATCAAGCTCTAAGCTCGTACGGAAATTTATTTATAACGTATTGGCCTGGCATATTTTACCTTGTTCAAAGCTACCACCAGGATATGACAATTTCTTTACAATTGACTTAATATTTAAAGGTTAAAATATTGTGTAATTGTGTTTTTTTTATTGGGATATATGCATTTTTTCTCTTTAGGCATTTGAAAAAAATTTAAGTAAGCAAAACTCATTTTCTTATTGTTTTACAGTTTCTAACATATAGTTTCACAGTTTAAAAATTTATTTTAGGATCAATAGATCACTACTGACCAAGCTCACATGTATTGAATAAGTGATTTCAGAATTCATTTGTATTTTGGATAGACAGAAAAAGCCTTCTGCTGAAAATTAAGTGTAGTAATAGTGTTAGTATGGCTAAAAACCAGGCAGAGCAAAGATAGCCCTTGTGCAGCTTTGTGCTTAACTTCAAAACAAATAGTGTTAGGATGTATGACATTAAAACTTCTTTATTGTGTTCAATAGAAAAATATAAAGGTTTTTAGAAATGATTTAGTCATTATGGAAGTCAATATTAGCGATAGAAGTGAGAAACGTGATTGCTGGCACCTTCCAGGTTCCTTAACACCTGGAATTAAGTGATACAGGCATAATTTAGGAACTCAAATAAAATTTAATGTGCTGATCATACTGAAATACTTGGACTTCAGGTTGCAAAAAATTGCTCATTCATATTTGGGCCTCTGAAGTAAAAATAAGTTTGGGATGAGTGGATTTGAAAAGGTGGTTTTAAAGGAGAGGAGCTGAGCTTCAAAGTAATCTAAACAACTTGCCAATCGTACTTAACAAAAGGTGGTTTTAAAGGAGAGGAGCTGAGCTTCAGAGTAATCTAAACAACTTGCCAATCATACATAAGAAAAGGTGGTTTTAAAAGAGAGGAGCTGAGCTTCAAAGTAATCTAAACAACTTGCCAATCATACATAACAAAAGTTTTGACATCTACAAAATTTCAAGGGGTGGTCTGACAGAGTGGCCCCCCCAGTAGCCTAAAGTGTACAAACTCTAGTGCCCTCCAGTGGCACAGCGGTATGTTTGTGGCTTTACAATGCTAGAAACAGGGTTTTGATACCTGTAGTGAGAAGAGTACAGATAGCCCATTGTGTAGCTTTGTGCTTAACTTCAAACAAATAAACAAAACTGACAGAGTGACCCTTGAAGGTGAAATACAGTGGATTTAATGGTGCATGGGAATGTTTCATTGTACTTCATGATGTTTTCTTTTTACAGTAATGGATTTTTATTTTATTTTGAAAGCTACAGTAGATCTTAGTTGCATTTGAGTGTAAATCATTATTAATTGTGCAGAATTTATGTGTTTTTGATCAGGTTATGTAAGTCAGTCAGCAAAAAACATTTCCCAAAAGGAAATTGCAAAGATAAACATGTTAATGAGTAAAAAAGTAAATAATCCTGGACTTTAACTTGTACATCATCAGCATTTTCCACTATCAGATCTTAACTTCAATGCAACAACAAAGAATTGATGGGTAATCATGAAGAACATGTGAACTCATTGTTTGAACATTCTTGGGATACCCATTAATCCCTGGAGCCTCTGGGTCCTTTGGTCCCTGCTGTTTTGACTGCTGAAAATATCTTATGATGATGTTGCTGTAGATCAAAATTTAGATAACATAAATCTCTTATTGTCATGTTAAAGTGAAGTATTATAAATGTTACTAAACCCCAAAAATAATTTTTTTTATGTTTATTAGTTGAGAGATGAAGATCTACCTAAAGATATACAGGATTCTAACTGGTTTTCTGCACCTTCAGCTCTGAGAGTTTATGGCCAATATTTAAACTTGGACAAAGATCGTAATGGGATGTTAAGTAAAGAAGAGCTTGCAAGGTATGGCATCTGATCAGTACCTGGTTCTAATGCTTTTTTTTACTTTTTTTTACTTTTGACATTACTCTTACTAACATTTTAATATTGACTGTTATTTACGTTTTAACCCCACCATTATGGCCTGGTAGGATCCACCCAGCTCATAACCACGAAAGTATTTATGAAAGTAATTATACTAATATCTTTGATAATGTATGCATATCTTTACAAAATTTTACAGGTTATTCATAAAAATTACAAGGCTTTCATACACAAAATATCAGGATTTTAAATTAAGTATTATTATTTTTTTAATTAAAGATTTTCTCCTGAAATATTTTCTTTTAGAATGTTGACTATCCAACATGCAAAGTAATTTTCATTTTAAGATTAAAAATACTTTTATGCATCAGAACATTGTCAAATTTGACATGCAAAATCTTTATAACCTCCAGATAATTGTCAAATGTTTTTAAGAAAAAACTTTATATTTTATCTGTTATTTTCACTAACGAATCTCTGTGCAGGTTCAATCAATCTTGTAATTATCATAAAAAATTAGGAAATAAATTAAATTATGTTTTTTCGTTCTAGAATGACTACAGATTATAACACAAAAATGCAAATGTTTAGTCTAAATAGGTTAAATTTCATAACATTATATATTTATAATTTTTATTATATTGACTTCTCAGCCGTGCCTAACTAACATTATAGAAGTTGCCACATGTGTACTCGGGCTACTGTATCAAAGAATATAAAACTAGCCTTTACAAAGTAACATGTCTTGGCTGTGTTTTAGTGAAGTAGTATTTTGTCAAATACAGTCACATTTCAGTTATATACGTTATTACTCTTTACAAATAAGTTTTTAAATTTTAGTTATTTTTCTTAAAACATAGAACAGTAAATAAATAATTATAGAAAACAATTATCTCTTCTAGTTACGAACTTTGTACTCGTTTTCTGACATGCATTCAAAATTTTATTGAACTACTATTTCATGAATTTATCTCAATAAGTTTGGTATCAAACTGTAGATTGTAATTCAAAAGTAAATATTAAAAAACCCAGATAAACATCGATTTTTGTGTGTCACATGGTATGTTGAATGCAGCACTGGTTCAAATTAGATGTTTGTGAAGTCGAAATACTAAGTCTATAGTTTCATACAAATTAGAAACTCAAATTACAGATATTGACAAGCTAGAATGTAAAATAAGAAGGTCTTATTTTTTCTATTTGTTAAGATATTGCTCATATAATAAATCAAACACAATGGCACCCCGCCCACCTCTTTCCATTTTTGGAAATCCTCCCTTATATACACTTACTTCTATATATGACATGAGTAACAAATCGGAAGCTCAGAATGACCCCCTGGTGGTTTTCTCAGCTTTTCTAATATAACTAGCATCATTACTTTCTTTTGAACCAAGATTTCAATATGGTAGGTTGTGTCTTTAGTCTGCCCGAAATTTCATATTTTTTTTAAGAGTAAAATACATCTTAGTTACGAAGCTTGATAAATTATAGTTATGATATTCATATCCTTCACATGCAAAATTTTTAAAGGCTTAGTAACCTATGTCGAGCAGCAACTGAGTACAAAGGTCATAACTAGAAGAGATAATTGTTTGCTTTACTTCTTTATTTACTGTCTATGTTTAAGTTTAAGAGCTTATTTCAAAATAGCAATAATCTATATACATATATAATGTATAATAATTGAAATGTGACTGTATTTTACAAAATACTAGTCGATTAAAACACAGCCAAGACAAGTTACTTTGTACAGACCAAAGATCACTTTTATGTTACTTGATACGATGACATGAGTGCACGTGAGCCCCATCGTTGTAGCTTCTGTATTGTTAGCC